TATTAAATAATATAATTTTTTAATCTAATATTTTACTTTAACATTACAAAAAAATAACGGTGACATATATTTTTTTTAAATAATATTTTTAATCCTGTATGTATATGTATCAATATATGTGTCTGCATTTGTGTACGTATAGTCAGTAAAAAGTGATAAAAGATACGTGAAGTGCTTTTGCGCATGTGTAATCTATTATTTTCACGTACCTTTTATTACTTTTTAAGTTTTTATAATTATTTACTGACTTAATTAGGAAAAATAAGAATAGTTTTCATCCATTTTTATAATTGTTTTAAAACGTCTCATCGTTTCGTTTTATCCAAATTGCCTTCAATTATAAATGGCATATAACAAAAATTAATTAATTTCTCACTTCTGATATCACGATTCAGTATAGCTGTGATAACTACTCAAGAGTCTTAAAAATTTAGTTTTTATAATTTATTATAAAAATTTTATATACATGGAAATAATTATACTAATTCTCCACAAGCAGTTATGACGACTTTTTGTGTCGGCGTGCCTGCTTTTGTTCCACATTTTTCAATCTTTCTAAGTACATCTATTCCACTGAGGACATGTCCGAAGACAACATGTTTTCCATCTAGCCAGTCTGTTCTGGCTGTACACAGAAAAAATTGTGATCCATTCGTATTTGGACCAGAATTAGCCATTGATAGAGTTCCCGGACCCGTATGTTTCAATTCAAAATTCTCATCGTCGAATTTGTTGCCATAGATTGATTTTCCACCTGTACCATTGTGATTCGTAAAATCACCTCCTTGACACATCTGTAATATTTGTGTTAAGGACATTTTTACTTAAAATTAAAAAAATAAGGATAAAATACCGTTTTTATATAGAATAAAAAATGTGATTTAAGGATACAAAATCTGGAATGATCCTGTGTAAGGTGCTACCCTGATATCCATATCCCTTTTCATGTGTACAAAGTGCCCGAAAGTTCTCTGCAGTCTTTGGTACAATATCTGCTCGTAACATCATGATAATTCTACCCACTTCTTGCTTTCCTATGCTTATGTCAAAGTAAACCTGAGGATTCTGTTTTGATTTCTTTGATTGTGCAACATCATTTGTCTTTGTATTGTCATCATTTTTCAATGTCTCGCCCGCGTGTTCTTGTAGCCAAGCGTCGTCTGCCCATACCGGTTTCGATGAACCTTCTTTTATCTTTTGCGGCTTAGCAATATTTACTCTTATAGTTCGGCCAAACAATTCGGAATCGTTCTGTTAATCATTATTGCAAACATAAGCAATAAGTCACATTATTTTTACATATGATTTACTAATGATTAGATAAGAAAAAAAAGCTAGATTTACATCAAAGGAATATTAATACTTCCTATATTCTTTAAATGATTCATTTTTTATAAGAACTATCAGTGGCTTTTAGGATTTTTTAAGAGCTTATCACAGTGAACGATTCATAAAATAAATCATTTATAACAACAAAATCTATAAAATTCTCGATATCAAAAAAAAAAATTATCAAACAATTCATCAATATTATTTATGTTATTTTACATAAATATACCATATTATCTATAGCAGCAGCTGCGTCTTCTGCTGTTTCAAATTCAATGAACGCAAATCCTCTGTGCTTTTCCGACTCGTAATCTAATGGTATTTGGACATCGACAATTTCTCCAAAAGGTATAAACGCTGCATGTAACACTTTTTCATCGACTTCTTCAGCTAAACCACCTGAAAAATAAGAATAGAATCTGAATGATAACTTGCCACATAATATTTCTCATTGTTAGTAATGATTATAACAAAAATTATTTCTCAAATATATACAAATAAATAATAGCAATTTACAATATATTTGGGATGACTTTCATCAAATTTTAATTCAATAAATAGTTAACTTGTCAAATAATATCTATATATTTTGTGAATGGAGTAAAACATGAATGATAACTTCGATTAAATTTTAATTGATTCTGAACAATAAAAGTAATAAAGAAACAAATTTGATGAGCAAACACGACTAAAAGATAAATAACAATAATAATTTATTCACATAGATTAATAAAAATAAATCATGGAACTTTTAATTTAGTAATCATCAGTTATAGTAACTTAGTAAAACATCATTTTAGAAACTAATAACTTATACATTAATAAATTAAAATAATAAAAAGACATCGGATAGAATACAAAAGGAATCAAGGAGTTGAATGTTTATTCAATGGACAGTCAAACTTGTTAAGTTATAATATCTATAATTTTTGAATGGAATAAAATATAAATAAAACTATTAACTTATTGTTGTTTGATATAAGGATAAAATTTAGTTCAAGCATAATGAATCGTAGAGTCAGAAATTTTGCTGTGCAAGCAAATACCGTTGAATTGATCATTATTTATTAAAATTATTCAGTTTGTGTGATTAAAGGTATTCTGAGGGTATTCTGAGGGTTATGTCACGTGCATGTTTAAATACGTTTAGATACGTTAGTTTAATATCTTCTATTAATTTACACGTACCTACGTAGATAGTCCGCTTCGTATTACCGCTCATGATGCGTGAAACACTTTGTTGTATTTTTCAACACAATAATCAAACTCGATAACGAGCGTATCGATTGAAGGACGCGTCGACACTATCGGCAGCCTCGAAATTGTTGATCACCGAGGATTTATAAGCACGATGTAATCGGCAGAGAGAACATCACTTATATAAGCTCGTTTTGTCAATTATGCTTTCAATTGACAACGTTACTAGATCGGTGGGATGTTAAATGAAAACCAGTGACGTGCAGTACTTTCGTCAAATTAATAACCTGAAGGTTAGTATTAAAAGGAAGGTATTAAAAATATTATTAAAATATGAGTATTAAAAATATTATTAAAATATATCTAAAATGAAAATAGTGTTGTATTTTAGAATTAAGACAATGCATAATGTTTTCTAATGTTGCTTGATTATTTGCGTTTTAATAAATTTTAGACATGCGTTCTGCGTGCAATTCTATTAATTTACCAAAACGCAAGCAATCCAGCAAGAAAAATATGTTGTGTGCTGCTGGCTTTATAGAAATAAATATATAAGAAATTAAAAATAGATTTGCAATTATAAACATATTGTTTCACGCACATCACATATGGAAGATAATCATACGTGATTACATTGATAAGAACAATTATAACATATATATCATATATGAGGCAAATATCATAGATAAGTGAATAAGTTTAAAAGTCAGTGTAATATAATTTTATAAATAATTTATATATTCTTTTAGCTGTATCTGAAGATTCTATTATATTTAATTATTCTTATATTACAACTCTTCTTTACAGAATACATTTGATCACTTGCAAGAGAATGCTTAGAACAAAGTTGTTACAACAATATATACTGCATCATGTGCCTTTGAGCTCCAGAGCAATGCATCTCTTGAGGGATAATGCTTACGTTAATGGGAATTGGATAAGTGCTAGTAGCAAACAGACATTTCCCATTTGCAATCCAGTTGACAATACTGTAATTGCTCATGTTCCTGATATGAATGCTGCTGATACTCAAGTGGCCATTGATGCTGCTGTCAAAGCTTTCGAGTCGTTCAGTAAAACCACGGCCAAAGAAAGAAGTGATTTGCTTAGAAAGTGGTACAATCTGATGGTTAAGCATTCTGAGGAATTGGCTCTTATCTTGACTAAAGAAAATGGAAAATCTCTCATTGAATCTAGAACAGAGATTAAATATGGAAATTCTTTTATTGAGTGGTTTTCAGAAGAAGCTAGAAGAATAGGAGGAGAAATACTGCAGGCTCCTATATCGAACAGAGAATTATTTTTATTAAGACAACCAGTTGGTGTAGCTGCCTTAATCACACCATGGAACTTTCCACATGCTATGATTACCAGGAAGGCAGGTGCTGCACTTGCTGCTGGCTGTACGTGTGTCATTAAACCATCCGAGGATACGCCGTTAACGGCACTGGCGCTAGCAGATCTCGCGGAACAAGCAGGCTTTCCTGCAGGTGTTTTGAATGTACTTACCACGAGTATAACAAATTCAGCCGCCGTTGGTAAAGAATTGTGTGAAAATTCAAAGATAAGAGTGTTATCATTTACTGGCTCTACAACCGTGGGGAAAATCTTATATAAGCAATGCGCCTCAACCATGAAACGGCTTGGTCTCGAATTGGGTGGTAATGCACCATATATTGTATTTAAATCTGCGGACGTAGACCTAGCTGTAAATAATGCCATGGCCAGTAAATTTCGTAATACTGGTCAAACATGTGTCTCAGCAAACAGGTTTTTTATAGAGGCTGATATTTTTGACGAGTTTATTAAGAAGTTTGTGATGAAAATTGAGAAAGATATCAAGATGGGAGATGGTTGCAAAGAAGGTATCACTCATGGGCCGCTCATAAAGAAAAGTCAATTGGATATAGTAAATGGTCTAGTAAAGGACGCAATTCAGAAAGGTGCTAAGGTACATTGCGGCGGACATCCGTTGCCAGACCTTGGACCATTGTTTTATGCACCTACTCTATTAACCAATATAACTAAAGACATGCAAATTTATAACAAAGAAATCTTTGGCCCCGTAGCAGTAATAAATAAATTTTCCAGTGAGGATGATGTATTGAAGCAAGCCAATGATACACCATTTGGTTTAGCTGGATACTTCTTCTCGCAGGACATATCGCAAATACTTAGAGTTGCGCGTAAATTGGAAGTCGGTATGGTAGGTGTCAATGAGGGATTAATTTCATGTGCAGAGGCTGCTTTCGGCGGAGTAAAAGAATCTGGCTTAGGAAGAGAAGGTTCTAAACATGGGGTTGAAGATTTTCTTGATATTAAATATGTCTGTCTTGGCAATCTTAAATACTGATACAAAGTGCATTTTGAATAATTAGTCCCTAATAATAGTTACTGTCAAGAGCAGACAATAATAAGCCATATAATTTAACAAGCTAATATATAATAATAAATATAATTTCAAGAGAGAGAAAGCGAATATAATTCTTGGCTATGACTCATACATAAGACTAATTTTTAATAGTTTGTTTTTATTATAGTTAGTTATATACACACAAGTTGTTGTAGTAATAAGTATTGAAACAATTTAATATGAATTTTTAGAACTCAATCACTTTATTTTAATTTGTGTACATTTATTAAATTTTTATATTTATACGTAACAATTTATTACGGTATATGTATACATTTATTAATATTAAGCGAGAATATCAATGAAAATATTAAGTTTCTTTAATGT